GTTTGGGTGCTTGTTGGTTGTATTTCTTGTTTAACATTTTTTAGTGTGAGGCATGGAGTCGTTGTATTACGGAAACGTTTTTACTTCGTCAGGTTAAACGACAAAGTGATGATACATTTATCAAAATTTTGGAGCAAGTTCGTGTTGGACGGTATGGTCTTAATTTTGAAAGTTTTATGTGAAATATGAAGTTTTCGTTGAATCGGTATTTTGAGTACATCCTATTGAACTTTACCAGGTGTACATCAGAAATTACAAATCTCTTGTGTGCAACGAGGGTTTCTGACTTCTCAGATTCCGGTGTTATGCCAACTCATCTGTGTACTCATGCTGCTGACGTCGACCTTATCAACGCGAACCAGCTAAAGGCTTTGGCAGGTTTTTTTTTTTTTTGAGAAATTTCAAGGACCTGAGTCAAGGAGTATTTCTTTGGAGACACCTTAATTAGTGTAAAACGTTGTGCATTCAGGCGAAGAAAAAGTATTTATTGCGAAAGATAACTTTATGGAGTCTGACTCGAAAAGATTTTTGGTAGTGAAGAGGTTATCGTTGAAAATTGGTGCCCAGGTGTTGCTCTTACTTCTTTAGAAAGTCTGTTTTTGATAGTCTAATCGTCATTACTTTACAGTGAATATGACTTTCTGCAGTCCTAGAGGCACTTATTTAAGGTTATGTTGATCAAAAATCTTGATCTTTCTCGAAGTTTGAGTAATGGGTCACGAGGTGTTGTGAAAAGTTTCTCGTCGAGAGGTTATCCGATTGTTAATTTTTTGGCCCCAGACTCTAATGAAGTTGAAGTGGTTCCAGTGAAGTTTGTCTTTTTCTTTTTGAGAGGGTCGGATTTGCATTGCTGTTTAAGTTTTCGCTTCCTTTTTCTTGTTCAGTTTATATGACTGTAGAGCGAAAGAAGTTTGTTGTCCAGAGGATTTTGCATTTCCACTTGTTTAAGCATTTTAGATTTCAAGTGAGGGTACCAGGCTTTGAAGAGCCGCTTGTACGTATACAGTTACCCCTGCAACTGGCTTGGGCCTTGTCTATACATAAGTCTCAGGTATGTAGCTACTGGCTGTTCGTTGAGGTTTGCATATTTTCATTTGATGTGACATCAGTTTCTCAAAGTTCTTTTACTTTGTTTATTGCTTAGTTTTTTATTGTTAATTCTGTACTAAGAAATATAAATTCTTAGGGTTTGACGCTTGATGCAGTTGAGCTGTCACTGTCTCGAGTTTTTGCCGATGGTCAGGCTTACGTTGCTCTCTCTCGCGCTCGCTCTCTAGACTCTGTACGCTTACTAGATTTTAACCCAACTTCTATTCGAGCCAATGCAGACGTTATGAAGTACTACGAGAGGTTTAAAAATTGTTCTTTCCCAATTCTTCCTAGCCGTTCGAGGGTTGCTTTGTTTCGGGATAAGGCTTTAGGAGCTGAAGCATAGTTTTTACTTGCGAATAGACAAGTGAGTTGGTCAATTGCAGCGGCTGCTAATAAATTGGTCAAATTGCATTACTCTTTCTAAAGTCTGTATCGCTTATCACTGAGCAGAAGACGTCTGCAATTAGCAAATCAAATCTGTTCGATTCACTGAGTGTGTTTTCTTTACCGATATGTGATTATCTGTTTCGTCAATTGCCAAATGTCAAGCATATAATATACGTACTTTCATGTCAACGTGGAACAAATCGTGCATCTTTTTTTCTCTTGTTGTCGCTACTTTCAATTTTTATAAATAAATGGATTTGTAAGGAATTTATCATTCTCGATCGCTTATTATAAAATACGAAGCAATATCTGTTGAGCTTTACATTTTGTTTTTAATTTCCATTAGAACTACATAACCTATTTATTTGGATGCAAACCGTTCTGAAGTCTGAGTGTCGCAGGACTTGAACATTTGATTTCTATCCAAAATTTACTTTTTGTCCCTTCGTTGTTGCATTGAACGTAGCATTATTTTCCAGCTAATGTTGGTTTTTGGACCACAGGATTCCGGATAGGGGTCGAAGTGAATTTAACTTTGTGACTCGTAGTGCTTTGGTGTTTCGCCATTGAGTTTCGCAAACGAGGAAGCCGTGAACTGCGTCTTTCCACTAGAAGCGTGGTAATTTTGGGGTTCGAATTGTTCGCGGTTTTATGGCACTGAATGGTCAACAACGAAAAAAGCTTTATTTGCATAAACTGCTGCCATCCATCAGACAGCTTGTACAAGCAGTATGCGGGAAATAACATCCGACTGACGCAGTGTGTAGGTAGTTTCGGTGTAGAATTTCGACGTGGACTGTAACTGGTGAAAAATTTTTTTACATTTCAGTCAGCATGCAGAAAAGTTGTGGACAAATATGTTGAATATGACATTGTTTTAATTGTCATTGATCTCATTCTACAGTATATCGGGGCGTACAGGCATATTCTGCTGAATTCGAAATACAAGGTCATGCTTCTACGTTGGCGATGTCATTTCTTATCCATATGTTTCTTTTTGACACTGTTTGGATTAATTTATTTGTTTTTTTATTTAAATGGTTTTTTAATGCGATTTCATTAATTATTTTAAAAAGGTTGGTATATTATTAGATATTTCTAGGTTTTGGGTGTTGTCAAGTTAGGAAGAAGTCTGTCTTTTTTTTTGGTATGATATATTTCAATAACTTTTTTTTCAGCAGTTTCATAAGCTGATCATTTGGTTCACCTTTTGTGATGCTTATGACAAATGGATTTTTCGTCGCGCTCAGGCCGGAAATGAAAAGATCTTTGATCTGGAATGGAAGTCTTGGATGTTTTGTGAATGCTTACTTCAAAGCTCCATTGAAGTGCTTAGCTTTTTCATCATTATCATTTTGCTGTTACCGATTGATATCCGTAAAAATTCACTCAGATTAGCTTTGGCGTCCGTATGTGTGGGATATTATGGTGTGTTTTGTTCGTGTGTGAACAAATCCTTTTCTGCTTTTTTTTTATTTTAGTTGTTTACGTTAACGGAACGGCCCAAAAATACTTGATGACTTGGAGTACTTTATGATATTGAATTTTCTTTCCAGGCAACGTTTTTGTAGTTCTGTCAATTATTTGGCATTTACATATAAAGTGGTCTTACCGGGCGTTGACTCAAGTTTTTATATTGGCTTCGCATATCCAGGTACAACGAAGTGAGCTCTTTTCTTATTTTTTTT